TAGAGGGAAAATACAGATGAGCATTTTTTTCTTCTTCTTCTAAATGGAGGCAACACACAGCCCTACATTGCAGTAAATTAAGCCCTCCTGGACTGATAACAGACAACAGGAGGCTTGGATTTCTTTTTCCTTTTCTTAGAGCCAAATGTCCTTTATTTTCAGCTTCTACCTGGATAGGAATTAGTGATCTTAGGAAGCTAATGTGATTCTTTTAGGTCACAAGACTATTATTTGGGGCACAGCCTACATACTTTACAAAGAGTCCAAAGGCCTTGAAACATTTACATGTATTAACTTTTTAAAACAGGGATGGAAATATACAGGGCATTTTGTCATTTTGCCTATATGCTCATCTGATGAGACTGTGGCTATACTGAATATATAATGCAATTGAGTCCAGCATTCGCCCTGTCAAAAATTGCAAAGGATAAAGTCAGGCAGAATATGTATGGCTGGGGGGTATGGCTGGGGCAGGGGGTAAGGAATAAGTAGAAATGAGACTTCAGCTGCAAGCCATCCACAAGAATCAGATTTGTTACTTTGTAATTACATCTTTTACAGACTATATTTGTAGTATTTTATGAAAGCAAAAAACAAATAAAGGCAGATGATAAATTTCTTTTTTATTAGATAGGTAATTTACAATTCCTATAAGCCTGACCAAAGATAAGAGTCAAAGTGGCATTTAATAGAAAAAGCATAGGGATAAAAAAGCATTAATTCCAGAAATACATGTCTGAACTACATGAGTGTGCTTTATGGGAATCAGGTGACTTTTAAAAATAAAGATATTTGTGGAAAAAATGCTTTATTTCTCTGCTTGCTCAGAATTGTTATAATTTTTAATTCATTTCTCTTATTCTTAGGCTATAGATTTGTTTCAGGGATACTTTCATGGATTGATGAAATTCAATATCATGTATATGAATGAAACAAAAAGCTGAATTAAATATCCATATTTGGTATAACAGGAGAATTTTAGAATATTGGAAGTCAGGGTTTCATTCCTGGAGTACTATTGGATGGCAAGTCGTACACAAGCCCTTCAGTTTGTAATTCCAGTGAAGAGAAGAGGGTTAGTGGCAATTTCTCAGAAAATCTACAATAAACCCTCTCCTCTTCACTCCTCCCTGGGAATTTCCATACACTCCCCTGGCTAAGGTCAGGACTCCTGTGCCACTGACTCCCAAATTGCATTCTCTAGCATTGTCACCAGTTCCAGAGGCCTCCGGGACACCAACACCTCAAAGCCCTACTGTGAGTTATAATACAGAATTATCGGGGGGGAGGGGCATGGGCAATATATGTAACCTTAACATTTGTACGCCCATACTATGCTGAAATTAAAAAAAAATCAAAAGAAAAAACGAATTATTAAAAGAAAAACCATTATCCTTCTCACCATACCTGTATCTCTTCTGGATACTCATTCTGCTTTTACCTCCAACAATATTTTCCCAAACCCTTAGGTATGAGAACCTCTCTATCCCCAACTCTTAATTTCCAAATAGCCTCTAAGTGCCAAGCCTTTTGCCTATAATTTCACAATCATTCTCTCATGCTTTGCCTTTTGTTCTGTTGATTTTTTTTTTTTTATTTCTATCCAGGGGGCAGAACTACAATCAAAGAGAGAAAGCTAAAGAGACAAAGATTATGCCATATTTTAAGGAAGAACTTTCTAAGAGTCAGAGCTGCCCACAGATGGGTCATAGAATTCCTTGTCTCCAGGGATGTTCAGACATGGACTGGCTGACCAGATAGCAGAGGTTTAAATATCTGATGAGTGGTTGGAGTTGATGACATTTAATATCCCATCCAACCTTGAGATTCTATAGCTCCTTTTTCACCATTTTCTTTCAAGCGCTTATTACTCATTCCTCCTCCTTGGGTTTGAGCAAATGTTTCAGTCCCAAGTCTGTGTCTGACACTTTGGGCTGATCTCGTTTTTCTATGCTTCTTTTCTTTATGACTATCTTTCTCCCCACTTGAATCCTCACGTGTGTGTGTGTGCAGATTGATTTGTTCACTCATTCCACTTACTGTGTGCTAGGTACTGGAAATATGGAATTTTTTTTTTTTTTTTTTTTTTTTTTTTTTTTTTTAGAGTGAGTGCCGTGGCGTCAGTCTAGCTCACAGCAACCTCAAACTCCTGGGCTCAAGCGATCCTACTGCCTCAGCCTCCCGAGTAGCTGGGACTACAGGCATGTGCCACCATGCCCGGCTAATTTTTTTTATATATATATCAGTTGGCCAATTAATTTCTTTCTATTTATAGTAGAGACGGGGTCTTGCTCTTGCTCAGGCTGGTTTTGAACTCCTGACCTTGAGCAATCCGCCCGCCTCGGCCTCCCAGAGAGCTAGGATTACAGGCGTGAGCCACCGCGCCCGGCCGGAAATATGGAATTGAATGAGCCATCATTGCCTTCAAATACCATCCAGGTGAGGAGATAGACATGTACATCACAGATTACAGCACACAGTGATGGGGCCATAGAGTGCCAATGGAAAAACTGAAAAGAAACATCATTTAACCTGGTCAAAAGACTCAAACACGTGGACTGAGTTTTGAAGACTCAGTAGACATTACCTTGGTGAACAAGCCGATTAAGGATCTTCCAGAAGGATCACCATATGCAAAGGCACCTAAACCCAAGTGAGCATAATGTGTTTGGGAACTATGAGTAGTCCAATATGGACGCAGCAGAGAGTTGTGGGAGGGGAGAGATGGATGAAGACAGTCTATAAAGGTCTGTGTTTAAGCTGAGGCTTTCAACTTTATTTTGATCATTCTAGGGTAGCCACCATATGACATGATAAGATTTGTTACTTAGGAAGATGAGTGTCTTCTAGTTTGGAAGGGAGTCAAAACAGAGGAAAAAAGATAAATTGATGTAAAATAGGCCAGAGGTGATGAGAGCTCAGTTAAGACAATGGCAGTGAGAATGAAGAGTAATGTATGGCTTCTAGAAATATTCATCTGCACCTGCAGAGCTTTAGAGACTGATTAGATGAGGAGGTGAAACATCCAGAAGGATCCTTAGGTTTTAAGTTAGGTGATGTTTCAAATAGTGGAACCAAGGCCAGGATAGGGAATATAAATGAGGAAAATGACTACTTGGCAGGTAAAATCAGAACAGTTAGTGGACTGCTCACTAAAGAACAGAATAAAGGAGACTAGAAGAGATGATAAGTTCAAAAGCAGAAAGAAATAGGAGGTATGCAAAGATATAAAGTTGTTCTTATAAATATTACACATAATAATCACTAACTGATAACATTTATGAAGATCTTCTACACACTAGGCACCAAACCTCACATCAGTCCTACAGGGTAGAAATTAGTTCCTCATTTTATAAATGAGGAAAACTCAGGCTCAGATACGCTAAATAACTTGCCCAAAGCCATCCAGGGCCAACATAGGTTCTGTGGTCCCAAAGGCTGTGCTTTGTCCCCCACATAGTCACTTTACTGAATTGGAAAATTTGGACAATAACAAGACTTCTCCCCACCCTACATTCCTTTTAGAAATCTGGAATATATTTCATTCAGCAGATTGAAACAGTATCAGGTACAAATGGTTTTTTCACCGTGTCATCAAAATTGGGAAAAACTTCTCTTCACCTTGTTGTTTTTCCTTCAGATTTTCCTTGATTTGGGTTTCTGTTCTTTCCATCTATAGTCAGTCAAATCCTTAATTTAACAGGAAGGTGGAGATGGACTTGTCATGCAGACGATGGTTTTCAAATCATGGTCCCAGGACCCGCAGCACTGCCTGCGGCTGGGAATCCGTTAGAAACGAAAATTCTCCAGCCCCGTTGAAGATCTATTGACTCAGAAACTCTGGGCATGGGCCTAGAAATCTGGGTTTTTAACAAGCCCTCCAGGGGATGCTGATGCTGGCTGAAGTTTGAGAATTACCAACACAGGGTAAAGTGTTTTGAACCCAAATGCCACGTCTACTGCCTAATGAAAGGACTGCCGCTAAGGTTGCCACACTGGGCAACTTAGAGAAGCAACATCTTAGTTTCTTTGGATGCCAATTCTCACACCATACTTTGGTGAGTGCACATGCATTTCAGGAAACCCACCAAAATATATCAATTACTGTTTTACTTATCACTCTGCATAGCATATACACAGAGGGAACCTGAATTCTAAATCTCGTACAACTGAACTAACTAGAGGATTTTCAGAGAAATGCAATGATTTCCCAGTTTAACCATCAACTCAGCTCAGTGTGAATGGAAATATAAGACTAATTCAGATTTTAAAATTAGATTTGCCATTGATCGCAACAGAACCCAATTAGAAGACATAATCATTGACGCATTCCTGTTATCCCCGTTTCTCAAAAAACAACAAGGAAAAACAAGCTTTGGGAGGATACAAAATATAGTAAATGCAATCTTTACCCAGTAGGATTTTTTTTTTTTTGGTAGAAAAGAGAATAGGAAGTGCTCCTGAGTGAGGGCATATGTCTACATTTATTAATAACTTAATAATTAGTTAATTAATCAACAATAAGTTATTATTAATAAGTTACTAATAATTAATAGCAATATTTTCTTAATAAATAATTTAACACAGGAGGGCCCCACCTATGGGAGCCAAGTAGCCAATAGCTTTTTGAGATGGTGACTCTGTATTGTGAGCTTTCAAATTACATATAATGGAGGGAGGAATTTATGTAGAAAAAAATAACATCCAAACCAAAGATGCTCTGAATGGATGGGGTTTTTGATGATTTATCTAATAGAGTGGGCTAAAAATACAACAGCCCCAACAAGCCTGCAGGGGAATGGCATCTCTGAGGAGAGACATTTTCATCTCTGCTTTTTCCCCCCAGGCTAACCTGAAACAGCTATTTTTGGAACGTGTGTGGCAGCCAATTTTCCCACGTGACAAAGGCCCATCTTCCCTAGCTTGTAGCTCCTTGTCATTGTTGCAGTACACAGGCCAACAGACAGGCAAACACTATCCTGACGGAGTGTGATACTAACCTGCTCATGAACTTGTACCGGCGGGGCAGGTAATAGATTTTTCTCCTGGAAGAACAGCAAAAATGAAGCCAGTCGAGAAGAAAACCCATCGTCAGTTACAGTTTGAACTAGCAAGGAAGGAAAGGAGATTGAAGATAGAAGCCTGTAAGAGGTGAAGAAGAAAAAACTAAAAAGAGATTAACAGTGAGAAATGTAGTGGGAACACAGGGCATGCGTTTTTGCATCATGAAATCTTATGCAACAGTTTTCACTGACATTTCTTCCTCTCCTCGTTACCATAATTTTGTTATGGTTGTGCCTTGCCTACAAAGTGTGTGCAGAGTGATTATTTGCAGTGATTGGTATTTGTGCAGATTCAGCTGAAGTCAGCTTTTTCCCCAAGGAAATGCAGAGATGGACTAGGGGACAACATATATAATTTAATGGGCACACTATCATATTAACTAATATTTATATAGCATTTTAAGTTTACAGAACACTTTTCTCATGATATAGATAGGGGTAACATTAAAAATATATATATTTTGTACAACCAGTATGGGACAGACACTAATTTAGCATCAATACCCAGCTGTAAATAAACCACGCTGGGAAAACTTGCATAACCATCGACCCTGGTTATAATAAATTAAGCAGGTAAAACCAAGGAATTCTGAAAAAAAATTTAAAAAAATAAGACTATAAGTTTCTGTCATATTATTGTTTATCTACCTTTACAAAATATTAAAAATGAAATTTCTGGGTATAGTTTGAATGGAGAGTACAGTTGGTAGATGCTTTGTTGTGGGCTATTGATGAAACTCAAAACAGTTTAAGTGTCTTCTGAACTGTTACTGAACTATTGTACTTTTGGAAAATGGGAAGCTTATATACCACAAAATATGTTGCAAATTTGTGGAAACATAAAAACATATCCATTTTTTAAATAGGGAAAACTACTGAGACAATGAAAAGATCAGTGGTTGCCAGGGGTTTGGGTAGGGTGAGAAGGAATGAGTAGGTGGAACACAGGATGTTTTTAGGGCAGTGAAACTATTAGGTATGATACTACAGTGGTGGATACGTGACACACATTTGTCAAAACCCACAGAACTGAACAAAAAGAGCAAACCCTAAAGTAAACTATGGACTTCAGCTAATAATATTGTATCCACATTGGTCCATCAATTGCAAAAGATATACCACACTAATTCAAGATGTTAATAATAAAGAAACTGTGAGTTGGGAAAGAGAGAGAATTGGAACACTTTACTATCTTCTCTATTTTCTGTAAAGCTAAAAATTCTCCTAAAAATAAGGTCTATTAATTAACCTAAAACATACCCAAAGACATATATAAAAAGCAGGTTTTATCAGCAATTTCTCCTAAGAAACCTATTATACAATTTCTTTTTAATCATTATAGGGATAAAAATCCAAGAAGATTAAACTTGGGATTCAGAATGCAGTCTACAGAAAATAATAAACACACATAAGATTCTTTGGGGTATTTAAATTAGGCCAAAATGATGTTTGTACTTTATGTTGAAATGATATGGCAGGAGGATTCTCCTTTGGAAATGCATGTATGTCCTCAGGCTAGGGTTACGTGTCTGAAACTGTGGATAGCATAAATTTTCCATGCATCAGGTTGCAACAAGTGGAGCTATGCTTAGGTAAAACCATATCAATATTAATGAGGCCAATTAGTGTCACACATTAACAATGTTTTCTTCTAGAACTGTTGTCCTGTAGGAATTCCTCTATCTAAAAAGAAGATTATTATTCACATTCATTTTCATTTTATTGCTTGGTTAACATTCTTTTAATGCTACACAAAATCGGTGTTAATGCTGCTTGGAGACAGCACATTTCTGCTCCATAAAGGGCGTGCAAAAGCATTACCTGTGATGTGGCCAGGCCCCTCAGTTATGGAATCCTTGCAAGTACTAAAGGAACTTGCTTTGCATTAACATTGCTCAAGTTTCCACAATCTCCCTGGGTTCTTTGTTAGAGAAGTGTGTTCTGGTAGATGGTTTTATGAAATTTATACTAGGGAAGGAATACCGATTTCTATTCAAGCATATTTTGTAATGTTTTCTTTCATTCTCTTTTGGTTCTTAGGTGTGATGTGCTATTAATCCATATTAGATAGTTATTATATCATTAATAAATAACTGGATTTAATTAATCATTATAGTATAACAATTTTCAATGGAAACTTAGTTGATATTCCTTATCTCTATTAGTAAAGATATGTGTGTGTGTGTGTGTGTGTATGTGTATATTATTTTCTTTTTTAAATCCTTGAGTTCTCAGATTTCCTTTTTAACATTGAGATAAAAGTAAATCATAATACCAGAGCTATATCTATTTATTTTGAGAATTTTGCCTCCAGGAAAACAGATGTTAGAAATCCCAGCAGCTACTTTGACTTGATATTAGGACAAAAAGGCCAGTAAACAAAGAAGATGAGGTGCACCAGGGAGATACATTACAGGGCTATGAATGGAGATTGCCCTTTTCTAAATGTGTCCCTGGCCCTTTTCTCTGTCTCTGTGAGTGCAGCTGGTTCTTTGTCTCCATAACTTTCCACAGGGGTATGTTGTAGAGTTGGTACCACTTTGCCTAATTCCTGTCATCCAACTTGCTCTTACCTGCAAAGTACAAACCAAAAGTGCTTACTTCTTTAAATCCCATTGGATCTGCCCTTGGTACTAAATCCCCCCACGTCCTTTAGCAAATCCAATAAGCCCCCCCCCCATATCTTGGCATTTATAATTTAAGGTTAAATATTTCATTTATTTTTATATAGGAAATGCAGATCACTTTTCCTTAATACACAGGGAAAATAAAAATATTCATTGTGAGATGAAGGTAAATTAACCCTTTTAAATAATGAAGGAATAAATACAAGTATTTTCTATTCCCCTTGGAACAAATATCAATATTCCTGTTTGCACAGTATTCATGACTTCTTTTAAATTTAAAAATAGGTTATTTTTTTTTTAAAGAAAAGGTCACATTTTCATGAAATCTCTTGAACTTGTTTTTATGGAAGTAGATTTTAATGTTTTTCCAGAAGAAACTGGTCAGTAAGGAGCATGAATATATCCCCCTGTGCCAGTGATGCCTAGGGCCTGGCTGTTCAAAGCAGCAGTATGCAGGACTTCTAAAAATGGCACCTTGGAATTGAAAATGCCACTTAGAAAATACTTCTTTATTACAGGCACTGGAAATATTCTACCTGCTAAGAAGTGAATTAGCCAGAAATTTTTGCATAAAGCCTTAAAATCGTTATTGACCATGAAAACTTATTTGCATGTCCTAAAGTCTTGAAAAATTTTCTCTAATAGCCTCCCAGTCAGCATTTCAGAATTATTTGTTCCAAGAAAGGAAAACATTAGGTTTATAGTGAAGCAGCAGAGAGAGTGGGGGAAAATACATTTACACCTACCTGAAAGGCATTCTTACATTCATTTGTTCTGCGTATCTTCCAAGGACTTCCCATGGGGCATGCAACTTCACAAAGATAATGTCACTATTTATTAGAGAAGACTGAAACAGAAAAAAGACACTAAATTGAAAAGTATATCCAAGTCTCCTGCGGTTTAAATTGAGATGGAACTTAGAATGTATGAACCTGTATGGAGTTTATGATTCAGGGCATTTCTCAGAAATAAGCCGAGCCCTTAAGGGTGCACATTTTCATTCAACAAATATCCCACTGTGTGTCAGGCACTGTGTATCAGCTGGAAGCCCAGCTATGAACAAAAGAGGTACGAGTGACATTTACATTCTGCAAAAATATTAAAGAAAAGAAGATAGGTGAAAAAACAAGTTCAAAGGAGAGGGATAAATTCAGATAATGACGAGTATTCTGAAGACGACAAAGTAATGGGTGAAAGTTATGGGGAAAGAGCTGCAAACAACTTTGGACAAGGGCTCAAGGAAAGGCCTCGCCCTGGAGGTGACATGTGAGCTGAGACCTAAAGGAGAAGGAGACCTAAGGGTGAAGGGCATGGGGTGAGCGTTCTGGGTGCAAAGACCCTAAGTTGGGAAATTGTTTGGTTGTTTGAGGGAGTAAAAGGCCAGAAGAGTGGCTGAGGTGCAGTAAGTAGGGGGCAGTGGCATCGGAAGAGGCTGAGAAGGTGAGCAGAAGACAGAGTGCCCAGTGCTTCACAGGGCACGAGACAGTGGACTGTATTCGAGGACACTGGGAAGCCATTTTGATTTGGGTTTTCAAAAATCACTGTGGCTACTGCATGGAGAATAAATTATGAGGAAGAGTTGTGGCAAAAGCAGAGAGAAGGAGAAATGTCCTCATTCATCCAGGCAAAAGCAGAAGTTGGTGGTGCTGGGGACAGAGAGAACTAAGAGATGTGAGATTTAAGTCTGGGTGGGTGGGTGGGTGGGTGTTTGGCCAAGCTCTTTAAAGGGCTGTGTTCTCTGGCCCAAAACCTTTGCCTCCTTCAGGGATTTTTATCAACACAGAATTTAGGGAAGCAAAACTAGGATATCACACTCTGATAACCACCCAACAGGTTTCGGTCTACGCCTCTGGCCAAAGGGACATGAAAAAGCAATTAGGAGATTTCTTTTTGGAAGTCACCTTTCAGGGGGAGGGGTGGGTTGTGGAAGGAAGTAGAAGGAAAGTGAGAAAACAGTGAGTCAAACCAGTTTAAATTAGTACAGTGGCCATTTGTTTATCCTCATCTTTCTCATATAAGGTTGTTCTGGACTGCACAAGCATTTAAGTTCTTACAGTTTAAGAATGTTGACAGATGTGTTAACACTTTGTGGCAAATACTAATAAATATTAACACTAGTACTGTATTTATAACAATCCAATTTTTTCTTTTTACACAGCTGAAAAAAATAGAAGCTCAACTTTATGTTCTACCTGGAGTAAATTTGCACTCCAGGGAATTATTTTTAAATTGCAGATGATGTATAATGGTATTTAATTCATTTCTCATACTTTAATTCAGAGTCTTTTTGCTGGGCTTATAAATATTATACTTAAAAAAATAAATATTATACTTAATTTATGTGAACTTATCAAGATAGTATGAACATGAAACTGGTGTCAACTACAATGTTCTTCTCAGGGATCGTGGTGCAAAGCTGAATTTCCCATAGGCAGGAGAGTCAGGGCCCATCTCTTTAACGGTAAAGGACACCTTCTGATATTGGTTTGAAAAATCAAGCTTTCTGGCAGTTTAGGCAGAAATGAGGTTTGATCTTCCAGCTTGGGACAAGTAATTGCCTGACTTTAACCCCATTGAGGACAAGACATGTTTCTTTGTTTTCATGGTTGAATCCTCTGGCGCTTGCACAGTGCTTGATACAGAAGGAGCATGCACCCAATATTTGTCTAAGCCATGAATGTGATTAGTAAAATGCGAACAGTTCTACCTGGCCCAGGTGAACACTGTGAGTCCTGTGAAGCAGGAGGTGACTGTCAATGAAATAACTTTTGGAGCTAATGTACCAGGTTGTTGCAAATGAGGCACCTACCCAGGGGATGCACATGCACATGCCAGTAACAACTGAAGATGAGCTGGCCAATGCTTTGTCTCTTTGTAAAAACTGGTTTTCTGTGCAGTAACCTATGGCAGTCAATCCTCCCTACACAGGTGCTTAGAGCTAAGTCATGTGCCCTTAGAGCTAAGGGCATGTGAATGAGCTCACAGGCTGAAGCGCCTGTACAGAATATACAGAAACATCACACACACACACACACACACACACACTGTCAGTCTTGCCCCATTCTTGCCTTCAGTGCAGTCATGCCTTGGAGATCTGAGATGGTCTCACAGCTTTTCAACTGAGCACTTTTTTGGGCTTTGGAAAAGATTGCTGCTTGTTCTTCAATACATAGTACAGTTTTCCAAGTTATAAAGCAGAAGAGAGACTATATTTCCTAAAAATGGGTCTCCTTTTATTTATTTAAGATATACTTCAGCTTCTGGGAAGGTTTGCTGGCTTCCTCACTTGGAATTTTAATTGTGATAATGGGAATTCTTTAAATTCATCTAGCTTTCCTACAACGTTCTACACTTACAATTGTTTCTTCTTTCATCGTTTATGAGAGAAAGAGTAAAACTGTGCAACGCAGGAAGACAACTTTTGGGAATGTGATTGATTTACTGAATCAAACAAACCTTGATTTAGAGTGGAATATAATTCCTAGGGTATACTCTCTCCATGGATTTACTATGATTGCTAGTTTTACAGAAAATAAACACTAGTGGAAGAAGAATCATTTTGGAGATCTCTCATGAATATATGAAAACATTGAAGAGAATATATTAAAATATTTCACTTAGGGAACATTTTAAATACCACATTTCTGCGTGTGGGTAAGCCAAGTTCATTATCTGAACAAATACTGAGTCAACTAAATTTCTGATGTAGAGTCTCAACCATTTTCTGCACAAAAGCATAGCTGTTTTGATTTATTCAATCTGATAAAATTATTTTTCTTATTTTAACAATAACACCATCACTTACTTTATTTATTTTTTGTGCTTTGCAATGTCAAAACACTTTCACGTGTTGCCTCATTTTGTTCCCACACAAACCTTATGAGAGAGGTTTTCCTTCAATTTCTTAGATGAAGAAAGAGAAATGGATCAAGTGACTCCCCCCTCAGCCAAAATGAATGTTTATTCCAGACAGGACCGATTCCGTACCTGTATCTTTTGACTCTCTTGTGAATTAATTAGGTTATTAAGTATGGCATGTCTATTTTCCTTAAGTACTAAGTTTGACAGTTGATATCTCTTTTTAAATTTTTATTGTGAAGGTACATCCTCATTCTTTCAAATGCATGTTTTGGCTTGTGATAACATTTCAAATTTTTTAGAGCAATTTTTGTGAAACCATGGATAGGTCAAAAATTCGTCTTATTTTTTAATATGAGTTCCATTGTGGAACCAATGCATCACAGACAGCTCAAAATCTCAATGAAGTGTTTGGGAAGGATGTAGCTAATGAATGCACAGTACATCAATGGTTTGAGAAGTTCTATTCTGGTGGGTTTGATCTTAAAAATAAGCCACGTGGGCAACCTGAGACCAAGATGTATAATGACAAGCTGAAAGCTGTAGTGGAAGCAAATTCATCTCAACCTATGTGTGAATTAGTAGCAAGGTTTGACATTACTGTTCCAACAATATTGGACCATTTGAAACAAATTGGCAAAGTAAAGAAGCTGGATAGATGGGTACCACATGAATTAAACAAGCATCAGAAGAGAAATTGTCTCAAAGCTTACCTTTCTTTTCTATCACAACATAAAGGTGAACCATAGTGTTACGTGTGATGAAAAATGCATTCTTTTTGACAACTGCAAACATTCAGCACAATGGTTGGATAAAGAAGAAGTGCCAAAACAAAGTCTAAAACCAAATATTCATCAACAAAAGCTAATGGTGTCTGTTTGGTTTTCCTGCGCTGGTATTATCAACTAACAGCTTAATGAAACCTGGTCAATCAATTACAGCGGATTTCAACTGCAACCAATTGAATGAAATGATGAGGATGCTTGCAATGAAACAGCTGAGACTGGTCAATAGAGACAGGGCAATCCTCTTGCAAGACAATGCTCAACCACATGTCGCACAAACAACGCTGCTCAAACTACAAAAGCTGGGCTTGGAAACTCTCTGTCATCTACCGCATTCACCAGACCTTGCACCAGCTGACTACCACTTCTTCCAGGCTTTGGGCCACTTCTTGCAAGGAAAAACATTCAATTCTCCACAAGTTGTGAAGACGTCTTTCACGATTTCATTGCCACTCGCTCTCCAGGCTTCTTCACTTCTGGCATAAGCAAGCTACTATTAAGATGGCAAAATTGTGTTGGTAGTTTAGGCGCATACCTCAATTAATCGTACTGCTTCTTGTTTGAGATATAATAAACTACATATTTGTTGCAAAGTCGAACACTTCATATTTGATGACCTAATGTAGCTCTCATAACTTCTGAGGTTTAAAGAAATCCATGGCTGTGTGGATGCATTGAAGATGCATATCCTCTGAATTATGGCTTTATTAGTTTACACAAAGTAATCTTTAAAGAATTTCATATTTTAGAAAACAAAGCAACAAAAACAAAGCGGCACTCCATAGTGTAAAGTAAAATCAAGCTACTAATGAACTGAGATTTGATATGAGGCTATTTAAAGTTATGTTGATTACCTTGAGAAAAACTGTGAACTGAATACCTTCAAATGACAACGAATGTGTATTCATGAGTCCTGTGTACATGCATGTGTGTACAGACTTAGGAGACTTTACATATTTTAGAGAAAAAAAATTAGTGTATGGGGCTTATCATTAATATTCAGTTTTTCACGGAAGAACTGAGAAGGCATTACCTACTGCTTGTTACTGAATGCCTTCTGAACTTCAGCCCTGAAAAACAAATGTGGAACAGATGATTGCTAATTATATGGCCCATATATCACTCTTCTCTACTGCCGAATGATTACACCGCTGTTTCCAGATAGGTCTTTCCTCATCATTAAGTATTCCTTTCCACATAAATC